TGATTTGATCAAGGAAATCTCCTCTCCGTGTCTCAGGTGAAATCCGTCTCTCCTTTAGCATATCCCTCAACATGGTTGTTACGTTCTTTTGGTGCTGAATGAATACCAAGACATTAAATTTTTGTAAAATCTCATTCGAAGGAGACAAACTTGTTGCTAGTTATAATATGCCAATTTGAATATCACCTTCGAACAATTATAGTAGGCTGTACCAGGGATGTTCAAGGGAAAGGACATAAGACCGTCTATGATTTTAGTATATTTCTCACTCAGGTCATCAGATGATTTTTCTGCATCATAACTGATCATCTGCTTCGCGCTAAAATTAAAAACCATCTGCAATGGCGAGAAAAGTTATGTTAAGTGTGACAAGAACAGCAGCAGAAAAAAGCAGTACTGAAAAAGAAAATAAGCGATTAAGATTTAAGTGGGGTTGAAATTTACAACTGAGGCTGCATGCTTCACTTCAACAGAGGCCTTACTTGACCAGGCACATAGACTTTTGTTGACAAATTCTTCTATTTGAGGGAGTAGCTTCTCCTTAAGCCTCTCAGCACCAAAGTGATTCAAGAAAATGCTTCTTACATACTTGTGAACCATACCAACTGCGTTTGTCTTAGATTCACCTTCATGGACGAAGATCTTCGAAAACGTGTCCAAGTACCACAGTTCCACCATCCTCCCTTCTTGCTGAAATATGTAGTTATTGAACTCAGGATCAGCTGTGATTACAACCTGTCTACCCGCCAAACTAGTCCGAAATATTGGTCCATATCTGCAAGGCAAAGAAAAGAACATCTTCACTGAACTAGGCAGGTAACTTGGTATATCAAACTCCACTTTTTCTAAAAATCATTAGATGGATTGAAGTATAATAAACAAAGCAATATGTTCTTAGTTGAGTTTGAGTGAGCAGAGTTTTACCTTTGAAGTCTCTTCTTAATGAAGGGGTGAAGATCAAGTGAGTAGCTGGGAATGATCAAATTGAGAGTCTCTCCAATGAGAGGCAACCCCATGGAACCTGGAGGCAGAACCCCATTGCATTTTGGGTTCCTCCATTTGATAATCCAGTGAGTAAAATATATGATTAGTAAAGCTACTAAACTCAACCCAACCAGAGTCCACATTTTTGTTTCAGATCAGAGAAAGAGTGGCAACTAGCAATCTCTATGGCCAGACTATATATATATCATGTGGAAATATTGGCATTAAAAAAAGAAAATAGGAGAAATGACAAGATTATTCCAAAATATATCTGACTTTTCTTGCACATAAAACATTTAAAATGAAACGTTCTAATGAGAGGGGACACATGACATGACTTATATTAAAAGTATAAGCCACCGTCTCTGACTTTTGCTCATCTGGTTGAATGAGAAAACAAGCACCCTCAGTCCTTGTTATGGCCCTCAGTCCTCACTCAGGAATAACTTCTAGGTTTAGTCTTGCAGGAAGTTCAGGGAACCTGAGCTGTATGAAAGTGTCTTTATATTGAAGTGTTTTTGGTTATCTGAAAGCGCTTTTAATCTTTATATAAACATATTGAAACGAGCCCTTAATCTAAGTCATAATCCTGCTACAAAGGTAGTCCAAGTTGGTTGCTCAAGCCTAATCTAAGTCATAAAACTACTACAAAAATGACTGGCAATTTATTCTCATGAATTAGACTAATTAATAATGATTTCTACCTCCTGGCATGACCCCAGTGCCTCCAGCAATACCAGCTGCCGTATTTGCCACTAGGTTTCCATAAAGATTAGGAGTGACCTGCAAGATATGAAACAACCTCTGTCAATGGAATGGGAAAAGAAAGTATCTAGTATTAACTAACAGGTAAATTCGAAAAAAAAGCAGAAAGGCATGCATGTATTTCAAATTTCAAAAGCCAGATACCTATTTTTTTAGCTAGGCAACACAGACAGGTCTATTGGCTAAAATGAAGAACAAGCATGATACATCAGAAGCTTAGGGTTCGACCCAAGATTCAGTTTTTTTTTTCCTTTTACGAAAAAAAAGAAGAAAACAAATCCTATGCACGATACTCCTGCATAGCAGGGGTAAATACTCAAGCCCACCCTCCCCCCTCCATAAGGAAATGAAAATGAGATTCTAAATAAACAAATAATAACAAAATACCTTCGTCATGAATCAAAGGGAGTTTACGACACACATATGATGCGAACCCATGACACAAGGAAGAGGAACAAGATTTTGATCCTAGTTAAAACAGAAACTGAAATTGCACATTAGAAAAGAAGGTAGCAGAACAGATTGTTGGAGTATTACAGTTTGATTCCACTTAAACGTACTCGTTCAGAGCAGTAGCTTCTTAAGAAATAGAAAGGCTCTACTTTTTTCCATTGGCATCATTTCAACAATCAATGAAAACAGAAAGACAAATACCATAATATTCAAAGAAAATTTATTTCATATTACACCATTAGTCACAGACTTATCAAAAATTCATCCAGTCTGTTGCAGTCAACTTTATGTCAACCAAGTACTGTGCAGGAATTCCAAGTTCAAGCACAAAAAGGCATCACTCCTACGACCAAAAAAAAGGCATCACTCCATGAAACCTGAATTTTGCTTAAAGTCGAATAATTTTATGTTCCTTGAACCAAGTTAAAGATGTAACAGGATGATAGATGATAATTACTTGGAGGGTAGCGCCCCCTCTAGACAGCAAGTCTATTTAAAATAGTTTTTTTTAACTCACTTCTTACTATTAACACTAAGCTCTCAAATACAAGAGAAAGGACAGAGTTTGTTGCTAAACAAACTCCTACTCACTAGGCAAACACATCTCTGATAAACCAAGTCCTACAAGCCCACGTCAGACCAAGTGCAAAAAGCAACGAAATTTTATCCAAACTTATTCAGATTGTAAAACAAATGGGAAGATTTGAAATGAAGCCACATACCATAACGTCAAATTGCTCGGGCTTCGAAACAAGTTGCATGCAGCAATTGTCCACAATAATCTCGTTGTACTTGATACTTGGGTACTTGGTAGCAATCTCTCTACAAGACTCTAAGAACAACCCATCTGCCAACTTCATAATGTTGGCTTTGTGCACAGCAGTCACCTTCTTTCTGTTGTTCAGATACGCATACTCAAACGCATACTTGGCAATTCGCTCTGAGCAAAACTTCGTGATCACCTAACCAAATTCAGAAATGGTGGCTGGCCAGTGCCCATTCTATTTTTGGTCAACATGGAAGGACAAAG